GAGACAGAGCTCAAAGGCAGCGAGTTGGTGGCTGCAGCTCCCCAGCTCTCACTGCCTGCTGTGCACCAAGGGCATTCCAAGAGCATCCCAAGGGCATTCCAAGGGCAGTCCCACAGCTTCTGCCCTGTTTCATGGGGAAACTGAGGCACAGCTTTGCTCCAAGGGGAGAGGGGCCCAGGTTTGGTGATCCTCACAGGGCATTGCAGGGCTGAGCGAGCACTGTCAGCTCAGAGCAATGATCCTGCCTTGCTCTGAGTGTTCCTTGCTGAGCTTCCCAACCTGGTCCAGCACCTGGAGCATCCTCACCTGATCTTTTGGGGATGAGGTGTCCCTGGAAGGAACTTCAAGACCCTCTGGCTCTGCATGGACCCACCACCAGATATTTGGTAAGGGGCTCAGTGTCACCCCAAGCACGGTGAGACACTCTCCAGAAAACTTCCCAGGGACAAGCAGCATCCAACTCTCCAATCCTAAGGGCTTTGTGAAGCTCCAAGCATCCTCTCCAGGCCATCCTCCTCCTGGAAGAGGGATTTCCCTTGCTAATATTACCCCCACCCTCATTAACACTCCATCCTCCCCTCCAGCTCCAACTGCAGCTCTGCCGTGGAAGCCACGATGCTCCTGGGGGTGCAGGGCCAGGATGCACACACCATCCCACTGCTAATTAAGATAAACCTGCAGCTGATCAATGCAACGAGTTTTAGGGCTCCCTCTTAATTAAACACTCTCTAGTTTATTGATCAGCCCCCAAAGTTCCCTTTGTAGCAGATCATACCAATTAGCTGGGGGCGGTGCCAGGTCCTGCTCAGCACAACACTCTGATTTGGTTTGCAGCAGGAAATCGAAGCAGGCAGACAGGGGGACAGAGCTCCATCAGTGCATGGCAGTGCCCTGGGAGGACTGGGGCAGGAGGGGACATGGGCAATGCCCCTGTGGACAGGGAGATGCAGAGCTCAGCCCATGGCTCAGGGCAGGTGGCACCAGGGTGGCAAAGCTGGAGGAAAAGGTGTTGCCTGTCCCTAGATCACCCCTTGGTTTTGTCACTTTCACCTTCTTCAGATCCATCCCATTACTCCATGCAGTTTTCCCAGTCCTTCTTAAACCCCATGGCAAGGATGGGAGAGATGAGTCCTGCTCTGGCTGTGCCAGGAGGATTGCACAGGCACCAGGGAGCAACTTCCCCACCACATGTGATATGTTGAGGTTGGAAATCCTACCATGACCAAAGTGGGCAGTGCTGGGCCCTGGGAAGAACATCCCTGACCCAACACCCTTGGACATGCTGCAATACTAAACCAGGAATCGTCCAGCCCAGCAACTGCCACTTCTGCTCTCTTGGAATCAGAGATTCACAGAATAGTTTGTGTTGGAAGAGACCTTCAAAGATCAACTCGTTCCCCATCCCTGCCCTGGGCAGGGACACCTTCCACCAGCTCAGGTTGCTCCAAACTCCATCCAACCTGGCCTGGAACAGTCCCAGGGATGGTGCAGCCAGAGCTGCTCTGGGAAATCCATTCCAGTGTCTCACCACCCTCACTGGGAGCAATTTCTTCCTAACATCCAACCTAAATCTCCCCTTGGGCAGGACACTGAAGCAGGGAGTGGGCAGGACACTGGAGCAAGAAGTGGACAGGACAGGGGAGCAGGCAGAAAGCATGATGCTGCTCCTGGCTACCTGCTGCCCTTCCTCCCTGCAGCAACATCTGTGTGTTGAGCTCATCCCTGCCATCCCCTCCCCTCTGAGCAGGGCTCCTGGCCCCCCGATGGGCTATTATCCTGCAGCCGGTGATCTCCTCCCGCACACCATATGCCTGGGGCTCGCCAGGGATTTAACTTTTCATTTCACTGCATTTTGAAGAGATTTGGGGGGTTTATTCCCCCATGTGCTGCCTCCAAAAATGCTGTGAGAGCATCACTCCCCCAGTCACTGAGCTCCTTCTGGGTGTTTGGGGCAGAAATTGCTCATTTCTAGGAGTTTTGGTCAAAAAAAGGTTGGGTTCAGGGAGAAAACATCCACGGGCAGAGCTGCAGGGCAAGATGTCCTGCCCAGTCCATCAGGGATGTTCTCTGCAGCCCCAGGACTGGTGTCCCCACAGGAGATGGAGCATCACTGGGGCTAATAGTGGCTCTGGACACATCTTGCCCCAGCCCCAGAACCAGCAACCCCCAGCTCCCTCCCCAAAGGATGCTCCAGGATGCAACATCTCTACACTGAGCCTCCTCACACCTCCTTGCAGGCTCACCCACTCCTCACGACCTTCTCTTTTTGAGGCAGTTTAAGGCATTTGGCTGATTTGGGCTCTGCCAGTGCCTTTGCCTGCTGGTGGGGAGCCCCAGGAGCCGTAGGAGGTGTTTCCATCCTGCAGCTCCAGCCCCGCCGAGGGGAATCGGCTGCGACTTAAATGAGCAGAGAGCAGCGATTGACTATTAAGAAGGTGCGAACCCTGCTGTGAACCCAGGGACTTCATTTAATGACTTGGAAACAAGTTCTTGACCTACTTCCAACTGCAAAAACCTTCATAAAAATCACAGAGGATAAGAATTTAAAGGCGCCAGAGCTTCACTCACTCTCCAGTATTGGGGGGAATGACCAGAATGGGCTGGGAAGATGCCCCAGGACTGAGATGCTCTAATACAAACCACAGTGAGGAGTAAAAAGTGAGGTGAAAGAGGCATAAACTGGGGCCTTCCCCAGCTCCTGCAACCCCTTGTTGATACCACAGGCTTTGGGAGGCTCCTGGCCTGGGCACAGCCCCTTCCCATTCCCTAGATGTAGGATCTCCCTGGCTGGAGCATCCCAGATCTCCAGGATGTGTCTGTGGGGGCACAGGGAGAGACTTGCAGTGTGTAGAGTCCCTCAGCACAGCTCCCCAGCACTCAGCACCCATCCCATGGCTTTCCTCTTGCCTGTTCCATTCCCCTCTCCCCACTC